AAAAGGTAGATTTGAGGTAAATAAAAAATAATAAAAAATGAACTAAAAACCTTGAAATCTGAAAATAAAATTTTAAATCCTAAGAAAGATAACACATTTAAAATATAAAAATAGAATCAGGAAGTTTGTATAGAGTTGCACAAAACAAAATAGCATAAAGCAGAAAAAGTAGGGTAAGTTGGGGCCAGTAAACCCCTAGCCCTGAGTCCTGCCTGTAAAAGGTGAGCCATAGCCTCCTACAGAGCTGCTGCCTCAGTGCCCTGACACACAGACAGATGCATGCTGCAAAGCAGAATGGACCTCTGGTCTCACCTCAGGTGGCACCCATTCTTCCTGCAGTGTGGAAGCATCAGCTCTCTGTGTCTACCTGTGCAGGTGTTTTGGGGATGAGTCATAAGCATCTACAGGGCAGAGAACAGATCTTACCCAACTTGCTTGGCATATTACCTAGCTCAGTGCCATACACATGGTTTTTGACAAATAGATTTTTAATTATCATGATATGTTGCCATTTCCCTCGATTTTGCAACCTCATCCACCCATAAGATCTACTTTGGGAGTAAGAATATGTTTTTTATCTATTTTCTCTTTACCACTGCTAAGAATTCAGCTGAATGCATGAATTTATAACTTTGCTTTGAATAGGGAGTCTCAGTAAAATATTCTTTAGGGAAATACCAAATTTAAGATTAATAACTGTTCATTTTATGGAAGGTTCTGCTGAAGAATCTGTTTTGCTTAGAAAAGTGATCATCCTAGCAGATTTTCTTCACACACACAATCTGCCCTTCTGAATCATCGAGCCTTTGTTCAGCTGCCGTGTTTTTGTGGTTAACCTCATGCTACAGCTGCTCACGGTGCCAGAGCATCTGGTATGGAACACAATCTTTGTCCTTTTCCAGACATTAGTTAACTGGAAAAGAAATGACACACACTATCTCCCTCTCTCCTCCCAAGTACTTTCTCTTCCTGAGAATATGACCCTACTCAGGAGAGAACAAAGGAGGTTATTCAGTAGAGAGCTGGGTCAAGTGGACGCCAAGGCTCACAGTTATTACATCTATTAAATATAATGTTCCATCCTAGTTATCAAGGAACTTTTTTCCAAAAGAGAGAATATGTCTCTTGCTGTGAAAATCTGGTGCTTTAAAATCATATTGTTGTTTTTTTCTCTTCTCCTAAGAGTAAACAATCAATATTGCTCTAGACTAGACTGGAGACAGTGAGACTCTTAAGATGTTTTCACAAAAACTGGTTCACCTGGAATCCTTGGCTAAAATTGTGAGAGGTCAGGGAGAAAACACAGTTCTACCATAAGCTCAGTAGTAGCAAAACTTATTCCAATTTAGTTAGAAATCAAAATTTCAAAAATCTGATGATGTCAGTACTAATCGCTTTCTTTCTCTAAACCGTCACTAAGGACAAAAGCCCTTTCTCAGGCCCTCTTTGCCAGAGCTCGCTGGACCCCATAAGTGATGACTGACCCTAATTGTCTTATGAGTCTTTATCCTCAGGACTAGAAAATTACTGGAAGCACCCTGAAGGTGCGGATGCTCCTGGAACTTATGAAATAAGACACACCAGACCACAACAGACTGGACCCTGCACCCAAAGATAACATCAAAAGAGACATCCTGCTCTACAACCTCTCCATTACCCAATAAAAGCGCAAAGCCCCCACCTCTCAGGGCTGGTGCACATCTCCACACCTACCCCTTTCCCTCCAGTGGGAAAGTAAAAATAAAACTTTTACTCTCTGTACTTTCTTCTCTTTGTGAGTTCTTTCACAGCCAGCATCACCAACCACCCTAGCAATCACTTGCAGCTACAGATTTACTTTCAGATAAATTGCTTGTCTTATACAAACGTGTCCATCATTTGATGTCTCTGACAATGATAGGTCACTATTTGATAAGCCAAAGCTCCTCTCCAGTGAGTCCCTTCCTCATGCAGTGTTACCCAGTTTCCTCATGGAAAGCATGCTCATTCTTGCCTCCATCCCAAAGCACGCAGCTTATACTCAGTATACATAGCAGGGACTCATTCTTCCTTAGATTTTTACCTGTCTTCTCCACTAGATGAAGAAGGAGTAAGGATCATGTTGATCCTTTATATGACACTATTCCACAGTGAATTGGTCTACCATTGTGCCTTGCACACAATAGATACTCTAACTGCGTTACATTTCCTTAACTTCATCTAAAGAAAACTCACACCCTCCCAGACTTGTCCACAGCCTGCCTTCCAGTATACATTTCAACTTTTCAGAATAATCTGTCCGAAAAACAAGAGTAGAACTTGGGCATGTACCCATTAGGAATAATGAGAAATGCTACATGTTGACAACCGAGTGTTTTAATATATTCTAAAGCAGATGAGAGGCTGTCACCATTTAAAATGCCGAACATTTCAAATATAATGTGAAACTGAGTTCTGAAAGGGACCAAAGTTGTGCCATTCAGAAGCTGCTTTTTGAGATATTGATTTTAAGCTGTTTATTAAGGAAAAAAAGAGACTTAGAGAGAACCTTGACCCTTCCCTTTTTCCGCCCAAGAGATTCCAGGCAGAGAAACCTGCCTCAGGAAGAAAATCTCAGGATATTTGCTTTAGCCTAACTTGAATGAAGTATGGTAAATAGGAGGGCTTCAGGAAGGGGCCTGTCAGCTAGACACCCCTAGTGTTCCATTGTTTCTGAGTTGCCTGTCTTGTGTGTTTCAGCCCATTCTCACTTTTGTAATCTAATATCCCTTTTCCCCATTTTTCTCATTTTTCCAAAATGTCATAAATACCCAATTTGGCATCACTGTTTTTTAGAATTGTCATGTTTAGGTGAATTCCCAATGTGTGTATTAAAATTTCATATACTCCTGTTACTGTGAATTTGTCTGTTAATTTGGTTATTAGACCCACTAGAAGAACTTAGAAGGTGAAGAAAAGGTATTAATAATTATTAGCTCCCAAAGTTCTCAACTTTAATCACTTAACCTCAAGTCATTTTTATTGTTCACATTGTTACAGATACCCCCCATTTGCCCCCCGTTGCCCCTGTCCGCCCAGCCCCTACTCCCTCAGAGCATTTTTATTAGAATGAGACAAACGCTTTAACAAAAATAAAGATTATACTCTCAATAACAATCAAAATAGGCATAAAATTTTTATAGCATCCTTATGCTTCTGAAACTTAGTACCTAATGTTTACATGATTATTAAGACTAAGTGAACTTCCTGATGCAAACTCTCAATTTACTTTTTTATAAACTCAGTGTATAATAGAGAAGAAAGTTTCTTCACAAAATTCTCCAAAGCAGACGTAAAACAAGTTTAATCATGCTGCCCTTATTCATAGTGGCACTCAAATAGTTGACATACAATAGAAAGCTTTGCTGTCAGTATTTTTGTAAATAACATTTTAATTATTAACTTCCTACCTCCTGCAGAAGGTCCCCTTCATTATTCATCTCACACTTTTTTATTTAAGTTGCCCTTGGAAACCAAAATATCCCCAACCAATGCATTCAACATGTTTTTATATGTATACCTGAAACAAACACTGCAGATGATGAATTCCATGGAGGCTCTTTCCAGAGGGGTCTGGCAGGTAATAAAAGATAAACATCAAACTCTGATGTGTCATGCCCAAGGCACAGTATGCTGGAACCGCACTAGAAGAGTAGAATGACAAATGCTCATTTATGCCTGACTTCCTACAAACAAAGGCATACAAAGCTTAAAACTTCCTACAAACAAAGGCATACAAAAGTCAGTTGATTGACTTTTTCTCCAACATACTGAATTTTTGTTATCTAACAATTGTATTCTGGAATGAAATCTATTGTTAGATTCAGATGATGAACACTTATTAGACAATTGTGCTATCAAAGTCCACAGACAAAAACACAAATGGAAAAATACAGCTGTAAGTGACCCAGATTTTTACCAGTGGCAAAAATCTACTCATTTGTAACTCCATTTTTATTTGTCTTTTTTTTTCAGCGTCCCTTCTGGCCTTTAAATTAATTTTAAATCCATTCCTTCATTATGTAACTACAGCCATCTTTCTTTAGCCTTTCCAGTTCTCCAAGTGTCAGTCTCTGACAAAACCCAGCCCTTCCCAGCTGGCCACAGTGAGCATGGAATTATCTACAGGCAGCCCTACATGGTGGCATAAACAATCCTAACTCAGTCAGAGGAAGTAGGGGAAGCTTTATCAAAGTGAGTTTGAAATTATGCTTCAGGTACAGTTGATAGAGGGGAGGTTTGTTTGTTTTTTTCTGAATCAAATCAAGCCCTCTAAGCATTTTCCATGTATGAGTGCATGGGTCTCTGTAGCTGATCACTTCTCTCTGGGACTTTTAGGCCTGCGGAAGCCCAGACCAGCATTCGGGCCAGTACCCAGGTCTTTAAAAAGTTGTCCTTTCAATTGTTGTATTTGCTTTTATTTTTTCCTTCTCTCTTTGATAATGTCATATTTAATTTCTTAATATATAGTCAGTCACTCTATCCTCTGGCTTTCATAAAACTTTACATAATGCTTACCACGTTGTATTGTTGTTGTTTTTTTTCAACTTGTCCTATATCTCCCACCTAAGCTATGAATTCCTGGAGGGTTCGGATTCTGTTTTGTAACTCAAGCACCTGGAACACTGCCTGTTTCATAATAGAAGATCAATATACTTTTGTTGAATGAATGAATGATGTATAAGAAAGATTAAATTTATTATCTGGGAAAAATGTCACACTTCTACTGTAAGAATTAAGTACGTATTGCCAAAGAACATATAGTCTCTTATGCCATTTTAATCAAATTTCTATGATGGCTTAGTTTCAAGTGATATCCTCTATGCTCCTGTCAATCAGTGTTGCCACTTAGGCTCTCATGAGTGCTTTCTTTCTATTAGAAAAAGGACTGAAAATATCTATTGTCAGACATCTTCACCCATAAATAACAGTTTATATTCATGATGAGTTTTTTGTTGTTTTTTTTTTTTTCTTTCCCCAAGGGCTGTCAGGCTACAAACCATTCTTAGTGCCCACCGTTCTGGGCACTGAGCGTAGAAATAGCCTCTTCCTCGCTGCCCTGGCGTCACAGGTGCAGCACAGCAGCCGCGTCTGTGGTGCCGGCGGATGCGCACCTGCAGGGCAGCATGATGAGTTTTTATATAATGTCAAAGCTCTTCGCACAATTTATATACCAGATACTTATGTGTTCTCTAAGTTGCTGATTTCAGAGGCTAATCTATATTATTTACGCCTGTTCCAGGTTTGTTGAAAATCATTCTAGCTATGCTTTTTTAAGAATGATTCACAAACTGAACACAAAAATAATCTAATCAGGATATTAGACACTAGAATAATAAGGCCTCAGCTCATTTGAAAAAGTGGTTTCCATTGTGTACTGGCTATTATAAACGATGGCAGGTGATCATCTAAATGGCATATATTTCACGTCCATTGGTATGTTTTATGTTACATCACAAACAAATACATTTCTGATGGCATCATAAATTTTAAAATAATATGTCTGTATTAGGCAACTACACTTCAGAAGTAAACAAATTGAGGGAAAAATTCAAAACTATCTGTTTTCCTAGGGAAAAATATAAGTGTTTAGGCCTCCTCCACCTGCCCCGTTCCTGCCTCTTCTATTGATTTAATTTTAGGATTTTATACTCCTTTTTGATTAACCCTAGAGATCTTTGTCTGGAATTGAGTCTACACTGAAAGTTAAAAAAGCAATTAATATGTTTGTGTATCTATGCATATGTTTATCTACCCAAAAGTTAGCCATGGTTGTCCCTTGGGCCATGGGATCACAGGACATGTTTTTAGTATCCACACCTGAGGATGGGTGACCTGAAGTGGGGAAGGAGCTGTCTCTTTGCCCCTAGCCTTCCTGTGGCCTCACCCTGTCTTGTTGCCTCCTTCGTGCCTACAGACAGCATATACATAGTTCGTCCTTGGTGCTAGTGGGTTGGGGTTTGGGGAACAGTGGAAGGGGAAGGTGGGCGTGCAAAAGTAACAATGGGGGTGCCATCTGGGACAAAATACTTTACATTACACAGTGGGTTCCAACACTTAATGACCTTTTTCATTATGCTTTTCAATATGCCTTATGGTAAGTTTTAAAATTACTCGTGTAATAAAACTGAAAATTTTTTAAATTTTAATAAAAAGTACCCCTTTTTTTGGCATGTTAACTGAGCTTCTTCAGTGAAAGTCCTTGTGCCAATACAATGTATATCAGTCTCTTCACTTTGGAACTGTGACCCAGATAAAGCTGAAATGTCCTCACTGTTTCCTATATTCCAGTTGTAAAAGTTTGTTATTACAATAAAAGCTTTATAAGATTCACAAATATTTAACACTGCTACGTTATTGTAGTAGACAAAATAGTATCCACTTATGTAGTCCTTAGTGTATACAGATGAATTTCTAAGTGCTTTACAGATACTAACTCACATAACCTCCCCTAAAACACTGAGTTACTACTATTACTACTCCCAGTTTGCAGATATGCTGCTTGAGGTACAGAAACCTTAAGTGTCTTGCTGAAGCCCCACAGCTGGTAAGTGGCAAAACAAGGATCTGAACTCCAGTAGGCTGGATCAAGTCCACACTCTCAACCAGCAGGGCAAGAAGGGAGAGAATCTATACTTTAAAAAAAAAAATTGAGCCTTTAAGAAAACATAAGTATGTGCATAAATAAGGTGAGGGAACTTCAATAACCCCAGTCCCTTCACATTTGTGAGAGCCTATCTGATGCTGCACAGGTGAAAGAAAACTCTGTTGGTCTTATTTCTTGGCCTAAAAATGTCTGATCTGAATGGGAAATTTATTTGACCACTTGCAATAAAAATCAAATTGTCTACTTTAGGACGGCACACGTGGTTTTTAGTTTTTATAAGTGATATTTAATATCATGTATGTAGTATTCTTAAATTCTGAAGATTTTAGATAGGAGCAATGATGGTTCTTCATCTGTAGAACCATCTGAGTGATACCTGAAGATTCGAGTAAGGCAGAAAAATTTCAGAATGGAATGTATAAGGAATTTGAGACCAAGATGTATTTCACATTTTTTTGTCTCATCTTTTACAGAAATTGCCAACTGGACTTTTTTCTCAATGTTTAAAGAAGGAAGAAAAACCCTTGAAGGTAAAGGAATGTTTAAAAGGAATTATTGAAAGATAATTAACATGTATGTGAATTTAAGAATGAATTTGAGAAAAGGGAACCCGTATACTGTTGATGGGATTGCAAATTCCTGCAGCCAATATGAAAAACAGTATGGTTGCCCCTCAAGAAATTAAAAATAGAACTACCATATGACCCAGAAATCCTACCAGAAGTAGGATTTCTATGGGTTTTTAATATCCAGAAGTATTTATCCATAGAAATTTAAAACATGAATTCAAGAAGATATATGCATCCTTAAGTTCATTGCAGCACTATTTACAATTGCCAAGATATAGAAGTTACCTAACTGTCCATCGATATATGATTGGATAAAGAAGAGGTGGCACACATATACAATGTACCATTAAAAAAAAAAAGAAAAGAAAAGAAATCTTACCATTTGTAATGACATGGATGGACCTAGAGGGTATTATGCTAGGTGGAATAAGTCAAAGAGAGAAAGACAAATACCATATGGTTTCATTTATGTGTGGAATCTAAAAAAAAAAAGGAAAAAGAAAATAAATGAATGAACAAACAAGACAGAAACAAACTTGTAGATACAGAGAACAAGTTGATGATTGACAGATGGGAGGGGGTGGGGGGATGGGTGGAAAAGGTTAAGGGATTAAGAAGTCCAACTTGGTACTTACAAAATAGTCCTGTACATGTAAAGTACAGCATAGGGAATATAGTCAATAATATAATAATAACTATGTATCATGCCAGGTGAGTGCTGGACTTAACAGAGGACCACTTTGTAAGTTATATAAATGTCTCACCACTATATGTACACTTGAAACTAACATAATATCAAACATCAACTATAATTAAAAGTGTTTAATTTAAAAAATAAAATGAACCAATAAAAAAAGAAACCTGGATTTTTTTAACCAAAAACATCATCAAACTTTTTTTTGTAAAGGTTATATAGTAAATATTTTAAGTTTTTGAGTCACATGGCCCCCATTGCAAGTACTTAACTCGGCCATTGTATGATGACAGCAGCCATAGACAATATGTAGACAAATGACTGTGGCTGTGTTTCAATGACAATTTCTTTACAAAAACAGGCAGCAGACTAACCAGTGGCCAGGTAGCCAACTTCCGATAGAGATAATTGGATCCACAAATATATTCATTTATACTTTGTCCCTTAAGAGACTTTCTGTTTTCATTTTTATATAAAATTAAAGTATATACTATATCCCATACATATTATATATCACTTTAAAAATAAATGTAAAATATTTAGAGAAGATACATGAATAAAATTAAATTTGTTTAAAAAAAAATCTCCTTTCAAATGTATTTGTATTCCTGATAAAATTCTTATTTAACACATTGCTTCATGTTCTGTTTAGAGTCAGCATAAAGAATAAATGCTATTTGCTTAATGCAATTTCCTTTCTTCTGATACACTTTGTGTCTCTTATGAGGTTTATACATTCTTTTCCTTAGAGTGATTTATGATTTGTTCTTTAAAATATTGATTGAAAATATATTACTTAAGTTCAAGAAATCAAATAAGTTTTCTAGAACAATTGTAATTTTAATCAGAGAATTTTATTATATTAAAAATTTATAAAATGTTAAATTTCACTTTTAAAAGTTTTAAGGTAGAAACAAATTATGTGAATAATAAAGTCCATTATGTTACTTACATATATTTATGTGCATATATTTTATGCTTCTTTGGAAAATTCTTGCTGCTTTCCTAGTTCCTTCATCCATTGCTTTATTCACATTGCCAATGTTGTTAGTTTGGTACATGCACGGCTAATAGCTGTATCATAAAATAGTTACATAGGCAGTTACTAGAATCATTTGTTGTGCTTAGACATATGGTATATCACCAAATCCAGATATTAGCATAAGCTACATTAAAAGTCTTACTGTTATTTAAAATTAGTTTTCAACAAACCAAATGTTAGTAAAGATAGAGGGAGGGAAGTAAATTGTCAATAAATTCATATTCAGCATTTCTCATTCACAAGTATTTGTTCTATACCTATTGTATTGAGGCTGCAGCTGTCAAAATGACTTAGCCATGAATATAAGACGCAAGTCTTTTCTCTGCCACTCTTCTAAGATAACATATGGGAAGACTGTTCAACTCAAGTACTTCTCTTGCCAAAATATGTAATCTAATTGAATGGATCCAAAGAAGAGTGACTAAAAATGATTAAAGAATGATGGGATTCATTTTATGAGAACAGATTGCACAAGCTAAAGTGTACTAAGTACCAACAAGGGGAAACAGTATGTTGTTTACCAGTAAGTTACTGCCTTCTGATGAATCATTTAACAGGATTGGAGGAGCAAAGGATGCAAATTAAGTAAAAGATTAAGTTTATTCTTTCATTGTAGGAGAAACAGTGGGAGAAAATAAAATCACAATGACTCTGATTTTATTTTATGTTTATGCATATTATATGTTACAAAAGAATGTGTGAGACAAAAAGTTCTTGCCTCCCCAGCACCAATTGCTAAAGAAATAGGATAGAATACGCCCAATGGGACTAAGGGAATAACTGATTTGTGAAAATGAGTTCATAGAAAAGAAAAGTCTTGACTACTGGCCAAGATGGAGGAGTAGGTAGATATGCTTTGTTTCCTTGCACAACCAAAAGAAGGATAACAACCAATTTAAAAACAAAAAACAACCAGAGCTGCCAGAAAATCTAACTGTATGGAAGTGCAACAACCGAGGAGTTAAAGAAGAAACATTCATCCAGACTGGTTGGAGGGGCGCAGAGATGGGCAGCAAGGGCAGAGAGGACCCTCGACAAGGAGATTGGGCATGCAATATGATGACTGGAAGACCAGGTGGTCTCACATTTGCATGCAGATAAACCAGGAGGAACAACAGGGGAGCGAGAATGACCACATAACCCAGGATTCCAGCACAGGAAACTAAAACCTCAAAACATCTGGCTATGAAAATCTGTGGGGGTTGTGGTAGTGG